AGGGCCCAGAGGCGGGGGCACGAGGGGCCAGACTGTGTCTGGAGCCCCCATGTCGGGGCTGTTCCTGACCCTGCCACGTCCTCACAGCACCTTCTCCACAGGCCCCTTGGCCTCCCTGAACCTAAGCCTCACCTCCTGTCCGCAGGATGGGGGCACAAGGCCACCCCAGAGAACCATGCCAGCCCAAGCTGGAGCCAGAAACACCGATCCGCCTGCCAGACTGAGCCTGGGCGTTCGGACTGCCCACCTGCTCTGGGAGAACTGTGCCCCTAAAACATACGCTCAAGTCCTACCCCCGGTATCCGCGAACACGGCCTCATGTAGACAGAGTCGTTATGGATGTAAGTGGGTTGTGGGGAGGTCATGCTGGAGTCAGGGGGCCCTAAATCCAAGGACCGATGTCCTTGTAAGAAGGCCAGGTGAGGCCAGCCTGTGGTGAGGGGATTGGGGCGGCTGGATCCCACGTGGCCAATGGTGTGGTTCATGTCTTGGACCCAACGGCTTAAGAAACAAGATGTGGGGACCAGCAGATGGCATAATGGTTGCACCATTGTCCTCCCACGTAGTCAACAGCAGTTCAAGCCCTGGACCCAGAGGCTTCAAACTCATGCTGGGCATGTGGGCATGTGTGCGTGCATGCCCAAGATACCAAGTGGAGAATGGAGGAGAGGGGACTGTGGTATGACCATCCCCCAGGGGGGTGATTTCTCACTTTCTCTCTCTCTGTCTCACTCTTGCCTCTCTGGTGAGTGCATGCTCTCTATAGCAAAAAGCTCTTCAAAAAAGAAGAAAAAGAAACAAGATGGGCAGTCGTGTCTGCTCAAAATCCTGAAAGCAGGGTGGAGGAGGAGATGGGATTGCAATGCAGCCATTCCCTGTGGGATGGCCTTACTTAAATGAAAATAAAACATGAAGGAAAACCAGGTAAGCACACAGAGACACGGACCAGAGCGGAAGGCCACGTGATCATGCTGGCAGCCACCAGGGAGGTGCAGCCACTAGCCAGGGGATGCCAGGGCATGTCAGCAGCCGCCAGGGCTGTCCCTATGGAAGCCTCGGTTTTCCCCCTGTAGCTACCAGAACTGAGGAGGAACTGTTTCAAGACCCCTGCATGGACACTCACCACTGCAGCCTTGGGATGCAGACACTGCCTCTCCCCAGACAGGCCTAGATGCCTAGGCTCCAACTTCAACCTCAGAAAACCCTGATCCAGACGGGGAGAGGGCCCCCGGTGCTCAGCGCACGGGAGCCGCCCTTGCCCTCCCCACGCCTGCTTCCTCCAGGAGGGCACGGCCTCACAGCCCATCCAGAGCCACGTGCCTTGGGCTGCTTCACACCGACAGCTCGTGGTCTCCTGTGGGGGCACCGTGCACGCCCCTGCTGTGACCCTGCGAGACTGCCCGTCACCACCCACTGTGCGGACGTGCAGACCAAGGCCACGTCGGCGCAGCACTCTGGCCTGGCTTCCAGCCGTGCGCCATCCCCGGGCAGCTCCTCTGCCAGCAGCCTTAGGACCCCCGGAAAGGAGGACGACTACTCAGGACCACGGGATCCCGCCAGGCCAGGCTGGCTCCAGAACTGGGCAGAGCGCCTGGGGCCTGTGGCCTAGGGAGGACTGCTCACTCGTCCCCTGTCCCTGCCGAAGGGCCTGCCGGGGGATCCCTGTTCCCAGCCAGGAATCCAGGCCCTGCCTGACTTCATCGATTAAGGCCAGAGAGCCAGCTCTGATGGTGACGGGGGCACATCCAGGTCCTGCCCGGCTCCACTAGCCGCCCCATCCCCACCCCACGCACGGACACAGAGGTCGTCATGTGTGAAAAACTCAGGAAGGTTGAGTGTCCTTCGGGCTGGAGGAGAGGGCAGGTCGCATGGCGGGGCTGACACCCAGCAGTGACCAACCTGGCTCCTAACCTCTTCTGGATAGAGACGGTCCACCTTCCCATGGGAGGAGCCTGCTCCCACTGTGCCTGGGCCCAGGGTCTTGGGCAGGGCCCCCTCACTGAGTACCTGCCAGTGCCCATAGCACAGGGACAGATACTGACATTCTGAGGCCTGAAGTCACCTGCAGGGTCAGAGGCTGGTGAAAGTCAGGGCCAGGACTGACCCAGGAGTCCCCACTCCAGTCCCCAGCAGCCCTGGTGTCAGGTTGTAGACCCGAATCCTCCCAGAGGCAGCCCAGACTGACCCTCCTGAAGCTGGGTAGGCCCTGCCAGCCCCACCACTGTCCTGGGGTCCTGCCAGGCAGCACAGGCCTGTCCGTGAGGCCTGTCCCACACTCTCCACCCTGTAGCCCCATGGGCTCAGGACACCTCTGCCTCCCCTGTCCAGCCTCTCAACCACACAGCCTGCCCGCCAGAACCCACCCTCCCACGGCTGCCCGCTGGAACCCACCCTCCCGGAGCTGCCTGGACACACGTTAGTTCTCCTGGCACCAGATGTGCCCCCACTCGGCTGGCTCAGAGGCTCTGAATGAGGCCTCCGCCAAATTTCCAAGCTTGGCTTCCAAGACCCTCCACAGTCTGGGCACGGCCTCCCATTCTTTCCGTTTCTGCTTCATCTCGGCTGAGACTCTTCAGGCCCCTTCTGCCACCCCCACCCAGCCAGAAGACAAAGTGCTGCTTGTCCTCAGAGGGTGGGCCTGCTTCCCACCTCCAGCCCTGAGGCCCTGCCCTGCCCTCTGCTGCCAGCTGAAGGAGGACACTAAGAGGCAGTGGAGAGTCCGTCTATTCCGAGAGTGGACCTGGGCTGACCACTTCCATTTAACAGCGCCTCCCTTTCCTCCTGTTACCCGGGAACCCTAGTGACACCTTCCTCCCGGGCGGGCACAAGGCTGTAAATGTGGAGGGGGTGCTCGTGGGCTGAGGCTTGGAAGCATTAGCCATTGTCGTAGCTGGCTGGCCTCCTCTTTTAGGGTGGCCTCTGGCTTCGCTCGCCCAGTCTAAGGCCTTTGTGGGCCGCCTCCACCCCACAGCCTGCTGCAGCCAGACGTGGTCCTTCCTGCCCTTGACCTGACTCAGCCAGAGGCCGTCCTCCCTCTGCCTGGACCGTGCTTGCCTCCCCGTCAGGCCGGGTGCTCCCCTCGGTGCTCCAGTGGGCAAGGAGGTGCCCGCGGACACCCCCTGGCTCACCCCAGGAAGGGGCTCCTGCCCATTTGCGCTCCCTCTCCTAGGCTGTCTGCCTGCAGGGCCTCCCCCTGCCCTCTGGCCACCCACTTCTCCTCCCATCCCGTGCTCACCCTCTTACCCCAGTGCCCAGGTGCTCACCCCCTGCAGCCTCAGCTTCTCCCCACTGGGGCTGCTCTGTTCCCTCCGCTCCACCACAAAACCAAAAATCCAGCCAGCGAGCCTGTCCTGTTCCTGCTAGAGCAGAACTCCAGGAAGGGCCCCTGTCCCCACCACCCCCTGTGGTATCTCTGCCCGGCCACTGCGACCTCCATGGTACCAGATCCAATGATCAGGGACACACTGAGACCTGAGGGGAGGCTGGAGATCTGTGTAGTTGTGCCTTGTTCTGGGTGAGTCCTGCTGCAGAAACCTTCCTGGGTGTGAGTGCCACATGCTTTCCGGATCCCCAGAGGGTTCTCAAGGGACCAGACCCTGCGATCATGCAGAATCCAACTGGAATTCCAAAATCACACCTGCCCCGAGGAACAGGTGGGCACAGATGGAGGGTGGGTGGCTGAGCTGAATTTCAGGCTCCAAAGGTGGCCTGCCATTTAGGTGAGAGACAGGACCGCGGTGGGCTCTGGAGAGCAGCTGGTAGGGACCAATGAACAGGAGAGTTACTATGACACAGCGCTGACCACATACAGGTCAAGGGGCAGGCGGCCCAGAGAACCAGACGGCCCAGACACTCTTCCTACCATGTCTTAGCGGTGCCAGGTGAAATCAGGGCAAGCCTCTTCCGAACGCACAATTAAACTTGCAAAGTGAAGAAAACCACCAAGGGCCAGCAGGGTAATATCACTGAGAAAATATTAATATTCTTTTTTTCACTAATTTTTAAAATTAAATTTTATTTGTTATTATTCATTTAATTTACTGTAGGGCATGTGCCAGAGAGAGAGAAAGAAAGGGAGAAAGCAACCCTCCAGGTCTGACCACATGGTCATCCATGTGGGAGTCCAGTGCCTTAGCCATGCCACCTGCTGGCCTCAATACTAATATTCTTCTTTATATTGTATTTTATCATTATTTTTTAATGTGCTATAATGCATATGTACTCATCAGATAGAGAGGCAGAGAGAGAAGGAAAGTGAGAAAACAAGCTGCCAGGTCTAGGACTCGAACCACAGTTGACCATGTGGCAGTCCAGTGCCTTAACCACCATGCCACTCGCTGGCCCCAATATTCTTTTTTTTCTTTTTTGGAGAGGTTTTTGTTATAGAGTGCGTGCGCTCGCCAGACAGACAGAGAGAGAGACATAGAGACAGAAAGCGAGAAATCCCCCCCCAGGGGGGATGGTCACACCGCAATCCCTTCTCCTCCATTCTCCTCTCGGGATCTTGGGCACGCACGCACACGCGCCCGGCGTGAGTTTTAAGCCACTAGATCCGGGACACGAACCACGGTCGACTACGTGGGAGTCCAGCAACATAGCCATTATGCTAACTGCTGGTTCCCTGGCCCCAATATTCTAAAGCATATTTATTTATCTTTTTTTTTTTAGAATTTTTTTGCCTTAGGGCATATCTGCTAGCTGGAGAGAGACAGGGACAGTGAGAGGGAAAGTGAGAAATCACCCCCTGGGGGGGATGGCCATACCACAATTCCGTCTCCTCCATTCTCCTCTCAGGATCTGGGACATGCACGCACATGTGCCCAGTGTGATTTTCAAGTCATCAAGTCCGGGTCTTGAACTGTGGTCAGCCATGTGGGAGTCCAGCGTCATAACAGCTATGCCATCTGCCAGCCCACTCTTCTTGAACCGTAGTTAATATTGGTATTACTGAAGGCCAGTGTACTGTGACATCTGCAATGACACGAGGAGGGCTGCTCTCAATGCCTTAGTGACTCAAGCCCTCCAGCTCTCACAGCTGCTCCGTGCGGCACACATGTTGCTGCTGGCCACTTCGCAGGTGAAGAAACAGCCCTCCCTTTGCCGGTGGAGCTGGGTTTCAAGCCCAGGCAGACTGGCTCCAGACCGGACGTCCATCTGCTACACTCTGCCTGGTTACTCTAACTGGTATAATGGTTAAGTCGCAAGAAAACACTGTGAACTGAAAACCTGGACACTGGGCCAGCCAGGTGGCCTGGTGGTTAAGGTGGCTAGAGGGGTATTCCCACTGGGCCAAGTTCATGGTTCAAGTCCCGGACTTGGCAGCTTGGAAAATATGTCAAGGCCTATGTGTACAGATGCCTAAAAACATCCCTAGAGGAGGACTGTGGCATGTCCACACCTCCAGGGGGTGATTTCTCACGTTCCCTCTTTCTCACTATCTCTGTGGTGAGTACACAAACTCTATAGCAAAAACTGCAAACAAACAAACAACTTGGATATTAAGTGAAAGACTGGCGGCCTTGAGGATGGGGAAAAGGAGTTGTGGGTTGAAGCTGGCAGTCAGGAGATCGGGCACTGGCCAAGCAGAAGGCTGGGAGATGAACCTGAATGCCAGGGGTCTCAAGAGGCTGCAGCCTTCGAGGGGTGGCCTAGGAACACCTCTGCCCAGCAACAAAGAGGGAGGGCAAGAGGATATACAGGACTCCATGCGGGACTGAGATTCGGGTAGGACAAAGCCCCCCCCCCCCCCGAGACTGTGGCTGAGGGTCTGTCCTCAACTAGGATGAGGAGTGGATGAATGTTGCCTTTAGGGTCTGCCAAATCTAAACCAATGGGCGAGAAAGTAGCCCCGGGCTGGTGAAAGGCCTAGGGTGGTGGGCAGCTACAGAAAAACTCTGGACAGGCATTCCCACGGGCCAGGGTTCTCACAGGTAAAAGCCTTGGTGGAGATGACCTCACAATCTCAAATCACATAACATGGGGGAACCAGCAGTTAGCGTAATGGCTATGTCGCTGGACTCTCACGTAGTCGACCGCGGTTCGCGTCCCGGATCCGGTGGCTTAAAACTCACGCCGGGCGCGTGTGCGTGCGTGCCCAAAATCCCGAGAGGAGAATGGAGAAGAAAGGATTGCAGCGTGACCATCCCCCCTGGGGGGTGATTTCTCGCTTTCTGTCTCTATGTCTCTCTCTGTCTGTCTGGCGAGTGCAAGCACCCTATAGTGAAAACCTCTCAAAAAAAACCCCCCAAAAAACAAAACAAAACATAACACACACGGAAATAGGCCCTGATGAAGAGGGAAGAGAGCAAACCCTTCACATATGGTCAGCTCTGTACCTGTGAACTCTGTGACTGCAGTTCAACCTGCCTTGGCTTGGAAATACTTAACAAACAAAATACAATAAAAATACCAATACCACCATAAAAATAATACCCACAAAATTACAGCCTAACAGCCATCTACATAGCATTTACGCTGTATTCGGTGTCCTGGATAATCCAGAGATGATCTGAAGTACAGGGCAATGTGTGGAGGTCCTATGGTTAGACCCAAATACTAGGCATTCTATAGAAGGGACTTGAGCATCCATGGATTTTGGTGTCTGAGGGGTCCTGGAGTCAATCCCCTATGGACACTGAGGGATGAATGCATCAGGACGAGGTTTCCAAGAACATCAGCCAAAAAATCACTGGAGACTGTAAAGTTAATTTGCTTAACATACAGGGCCGACAGGTGGCATGGTAGTTAAAGGCATGAGACTCCCACATGGTCGACCGTGGTTCAAGTCCCAGACCTGGTGGCTTGCTTTCTCAATTTCCCTCTCTTTCTAAGTCTCTCTCTGATCAAACTGGAAAATAATAATACATAAAATTAAATATTTATTTATTCAATTCCATTTGTTACTGTTATTTTTTTTAACTTGACCAGAGAGAGACAGAGAGAGAGAGAAAAGGAAAGCGAGAAATCAAGCCGCCAGGTCTGGGACATGAACCATAGTCGGCCTTGTGGGAGTCCAGCACCTTTAACGACTACGCTACCTGCTGGACCCCAATAAAATAATTCATAAAAAATTTTGCTTAACACAATTAAAGACATGAAAGAAAGAATTAAAACCAGGAGAATAGGCTAAGATGTTAAAAAACTAGGTGCCTCCCAGGACCAGAGTGTCCCCTCAAGGAGAAAGGATGCCACTCTGTCCAGGTGTGCAGGGAACCTGGCTGGGAGCAGCAGCCTGGAAGCTCAGCACCGCCTCCCTGTCCCTCCGCAGCATCTCCAGAAACTCAGGCAAGTGCCTGGGCCTATCCCAGAGGGTGTCAGACCCTCTCCTGGCTGGGTCACAGGGGAGAAGTCACCTGGCTCCGCACAGAAAGGGTAGGTGAGTGCCAGCCTTCGGCTGCTCCGTGCCCAACGAAAACCCATGGGAGAGACTGTGTCCACGGGGCATCATCCAGGCGATAGGCCGTCCCCCCTGCCCAGAGCAGAGACTACCAAACTGGGGTCCCTGAGGGCCCTCTAGTTGCCCAAACAATGGGGCCTGAGGCAGACCCGTGGCCCTGCTGGGCTGGAGCCAGGAGCCCGAGGGTGAACACAGTATCCCGGCTTCTGCCCACCTCCTGCCCTCCTTGGGGGTGCTGGGTGGGGAGCAGTGACGTGCCCAGTCACCTGGCCTGGACACTGCAGGGACTACCTTGGCAGCTTCTGCTTCTGTGTGACTGAGACCTGAACTCTGCCTGTGGTCACACGTGGGTGGTGAAGGTGAGGGCCCCCTGCCCAGGAGTGAGGCTGCCTATTGGCAGCCCTTGGGGGGGTGGCTCTCTTGACCACAAAATATGCTGCTCCCCGGTCACCAGCTGGCCTACCAGGATTTCTCCAGACTCATGGAGCAAGTGACAGGAAGGGGTTCTCCAGGGCTTCGCAAGGGAGATGAGGCAAGAGGGTTGCCATGTTGTTGGAAGCTCCCAGCCCCTTCGGGGAGCCAAGGCCACAGATCTAAGGGCGTCTAAGGTGAGAGGAAAGGGGGCTGGGGCCTCCCTGAGCTGCTGCGTAAAGCAAGCAGAGGCTGACTTCCTGGGGAAGGCACTGTCCTCTGAGGCCAGGCCCCGTCCACGGCCACACGCTTGCCCTTTACTCTGTCTAGGACAGCCATTCCCAAAGCCTGGTCAAATTGGCCAACTCTCACTCATCCTGCAAAACCTGCAGGGGTCGCTGGGGACAACCTCACCCACCAAAGTCTTTGCCACAGCTGTGCCCGCCACACACACCCACACCCATACCCACACCCACACCCACGTGCGGAGGATGGGTCTTCCCAGGCCACCTGCTGCTTAGCCTGGGGCTTAGTACTAGATTCTAGTCTGGCCAGATATGTGACCCTGAGCAAGCCTCCGGGCCTTCACTGGCCCTTCGTGACTGCATTTGCTCCATACCCCACAGAAAGTCATGGCAGGTATGTTCTGCTCATTTCAGAGATGACGCACCTGAGACTCAGAGAGGTAGAGTGACCTGCCCCAAACCACGGAGCTGGACAGTGGTGGAGCTGAGACTCAAACCCGGGACCTTGGGACTTGCAGGGTTGGCACCAGCAGCTCTGTCCCTTAGCACCTAGCTGTCTTGATAAACGTCTGATGGATGAATGGATGAATCAGTGGAGGAAGTGGAAACCCCAGTCCTAGCCCCTCCCAGGAGTGGTATGGACATTCTATCCCCAGGCACTCAGGGCTGAGTCCTTCCTAGAGGGTCTGTGCATCCCTACCCTGTCTCCCCAGATCTCCAGCCATAGCGTACTCACCCAGCTCAGGCTACTTGCCCCCCAGCAAGTTCACCCTCTAGCGCTCAGCCAGCTCTGTTGGCCCTCAGGCTGGCCCTGGGCTTCTCTGTGATAGCTCCAGTCACACCAGGGGTCTCTGTCAGGGCAGCCTCCCCCATCAGACTGTCAGCTGGGGTCAGCTCCCCCACCCCATCAAACTGTGTAAGGTCAACCCGCCCCTGCCCCATCACACTGTGTCAGGTCAGCCCACCCCATCAGACGGGGTAAGGTCAGCCCCCAGCTCCCTCCATCATCCTGGGTAAGGTCAGCCCCCAGTCCCGTCCATCACACTGGGTAAGGTCAGCCCCCAGTCCCCTCCATCAGACTGGGTAAGGTCAGCCCCGCCCCCTCCATCAGACTGGGTAAGGTCAGCCCCCCGCCCCCTCCATCAGACTGGGCAAGGTCAGTCCCCAGTCCCGTCCATCAGACTGTGTCAGGTCCTCCATCAGACTGGGCAAGGTCAGTCCCCAGTCCCGTCCATCAGACTGTGTCAGGTCAGCCCCCAGCCCCCTCCATCAGACTGGGCAAGGTCAGCCATCCTGCGAGACTGAGTAAGGTCAGCACCCCGTCAGACTGTGTTGGGTCAGCCCCCACGTCAGACTCTCTGTCCAGCCCCCCCCATCGGATTGCTTGTCCAGCCCCCTGTCAGACTGTGTAAGACCGGCCCCCCCGTCAGACTGTCCATCCAGCCTCCCTGTCCCCCCACCTCGTCAGACAGAGTGTCCCGAGGGCAGGGCAGTGCCTTCGCAGCACCTGTCCCATTCAGAGGACAGCACACTGAGCCCCCGAGGGCGTGGTGGGAACCCACCCTGGGAAGCCGCTGCCTCCGGCCTGGGCACATTTCCCGTGCTCCCCACGCCTGGCTGACCGTGCTGGCCTCCTGGGAGCCAAACCTGCCACCCGCCCCTCCTGGCCAGGATAAATGCTGGCTTGGCAGAACTCGCCTCAGGTGACAGGGATCTCCTGAGGCCCAGGAGAGGGGGAGCCA